AGCTCAGCTTTTTTTTTTTTTTAAGATTTTATTTATTTGAGAGAGAGAATGAGAGATAGAAAGCACAAGAGGGAAGAGGGTCAGAGGGAGAAGCAGACTCCCTGCCGAGCAGGAAGCCCAATGTGGGACTCGATCCCGGGACTCCGGGATCATGACCTGAGCCGAAGGCAGTCGCCTAACCAACTGAGCCACCCAGGCGCCTCAGCTCAGCTTCTTAACCACTGCTTGCAATTTAGCAAATACTTTGAGGGAAAAAGCAATGCCAAATGTCAGGCTCATCTCTTTATGCTTCCCTTGTCTATGATTCTAAGCTTCTTTTTTTTTTTTTAAGATTTTATTTATTTATTTGAAAGAGAGAGAATGAGAGAGAGAGAGCACATGAGAGGGGGGAGGGTCAGAGGGAGAAGCAGACTCCCTGCTGAGCAGGGAGCCTGATGTGGGACTCGATCCCGGGACTCCAGGATCATGACCTGAGCCAAAGGCAGTCGCTTAAACAACTGAGCCACCCAGGCGCCCCTATGATTCTAAGCTTCTTAAGTCCTTACTGCCGTGGCAGCTTCTGATACCTTCAAGCAGCTGTTTTTTATAATTTGTCTAACTTTTCAGGTTGTTCTCAGAGGGATAGGTGGTGTTTAATAAGCTGGTCCATTAATTTCCAAAGCATAAATCCCCAGGTTTATTATAATCTTAGGAACTGTTATGGATTGCATTGTGCATTTCTCCTCCCACCCCCCAAGATATATTGAAGTCCTAACCCCCAGTACCTTGGAATGTGATCTTATTTGGAAATACAGAGGTAATCTAGTTAGAATGAGGTCCTAATCCAACATGACTGGAACCCTCATTAAAAAAAAAGAAAGATTTAAACATAGTCACAAACACACACAGTGGGAAGATGATGTGAAGACACAAAGGGAGAAGACAGCCATATAACTGGAGTGATGCATCTACAAGCCAAGGAATGCCTGGAGCTACCAAAAGTTAGGAGAAAGGCGTGGAAGTTTCTGGAGCCTTTAGAACACGGCCCTGCTGACACCTTGATTTTGACTTCTGACCTCCAGAACTGTAAGACAATACCTTTGTGTTGTTTTAAGCCACCCAGTTTATGGAACTTCGATATAGCAGCTCTAGGAAACTAACACAGGGCCTTTTTACTTTCAGGTATGGGATGGTTACTTTCATGTGCCAACTTGCTGGGTCATCGGATGCCCAGATATATGGTTGAACACTATTTCTGGCTATGTCTGTGAAGGTGTTTCTGGATGAGATTAACATTTTAATCAGTCAACTGAGGAAAGCAGATTGCTTTCTTCAGTGTGGGTGGGCATCATCCAATCTGTTGAGGGTTTGAATAGAAGAAACAGGCTGAGGAAGGTTAAATTCTCTCTCTTTACCTGACTGTTTGAATTGGGACATCAGTTTTCTCCTGCTTTCAGACTAGGACTTACACCATCAGCACTCCTAATTAACTTCGGCTTTGACCTGAACTTACACCGTTGGTTTCCTGGTTCTCAGGCCTTTGGTCTGAAGACTGGAATTACACCACCAGCATTCTAGGGTCCCCAGCTTGCAGAAGGCAGATCAAGGGAGTTCTTGGCCTCCATAATTGTGGCCTCCCAATTCCTCAGAATAAATCTGTATCTATATATAGCTACCTCTCCACTCTATTGATTCTGTTTCTCTGGAGAACTTTGACTGTATTAGTTAATACAAGGTCCTACTGCTTTAGAATGGTCTTTCCCTAGATCTTTACATGGGTGCCTCCTATTCAAATGTTACCTTTCAGAGAAGTCTCCCCTAATTTTCTGAAATGATTTCCTCTTCCTGAGTTATTCTCTATAATCTCACTGAATTTTATATACAACACTTATTACCATCTAAAACAATTCTCTTTGGTTACATACTTACTGTCTTTTCTACCACTCTTCCCCCCAGCTCCAACCAGAAAAGTGAGTCCTTGAGGGCAGGAACTCATTCCAGTTCACCACTATCCTTTCAGGGCCTAGAATAGTAGCTGGCACTCTGTAGGAACTCACATATTTGTTGACAGGTGATGGACTGCTTCCCTGTGTCCCAGGCAACAGAGCGCATTATCAAACTTTTTGATCTTTGTTAAATTTATAGGTAAAAAATGGTGCCTTATTTGTAGTTTTAACATACATGAGACTGAGTAATTTTTTATAGGTTTGAAAGCTATTTATATTTTCTGTTTTGTGAAATAAACATTCTGTTGCTTGCCTATTTTTCTAAAGGGTTATTGATCTTTTCTTCTTGATGTATTTGAAGGAGCTCTTTCCATACCAAGGAAATTAGTCCTCTGACATGGTTTGCAGATGTTTCCCTTTAATTTATAGCTTTGCCTGAGGTATTTTTTTTTGCAATGCAGAAAATGTTTATATAGATGAGTTTACTAATTTTTCTTTATGGGTTCTTACTTTTATTCTCATGTGGCCTTTTTTCTCAATGGCTGAAAGATAACAAGACTGGAGTAATTCCCTTGTATCTAAAGATGGGCATCATATGGTGAAGATGGCAGAGCTGCTCTACCAGGCCTGGACCCCTTGGCTGTTACCCACGAGAGACATAAACTTCTGTCCTGTTTAAGTCATTGTATATTTGGGTATCTGCTTCAGCAGCTTATTGTATATGCTCTAATACACCAAACCATCACAACTTGAGGAACTGGTTTATTTCACATGAACAAGTCCTACCTTAAATTACAAAATAATTAGTTTTTTTTGTAAGAGACTCAGTGTATTTATTTTTTTAAAGATTTTATTTATTTGACAGAGAGAGACACAGAGAGAGAGGGAACACAAGCAGGGGGAGTGGGAGAGGGGGAAGCAGGCTTCCCGCGGAGCAGGGAGTCCGATGTGGGGCTTGATCCCAGGACCCCGGGATCATGACCTGAGCCGAAGGCAGATGCTTAACGACTGAGCCACCCAGATGCCCCAACTCAGTGTATTTAATTAGCAGTTATGCTTTACTCTAAACTGGTTTTCTTTTTATTATAATTTTCTTTTATTATAATTCAAAGACTGGTCATCTTTCGAAAATTATGACTAGAACTCCATTTAGTAAAGGTTTCAATATAAAAGCCACAGCAGCAATTAAAGTAGAAAGAGAAGGTAGGATGCTTTATTATATCAGTTAATCCTCAAAACTTCTAGAGAAAGCAATTATACTCTTAGCTTGGATGAAGAAACTGAGTTTTAGAAAGTCAGGAGAACTGCCTAAGGTCTTACAGTTAATAAGCAGCATGTCTGGAACTCAAACATAGGTCACTATGATGACATACATATATTCACTGCACTATCCTTCCTTTAGGGAAGATTTAATGCAATTATTTTTTTAAAGATTTTTAAAATTTATTTATTTGTCAGAGAGAGACACAGCGAGAGAGACAGAGAGCACGCACAAGCAGGGGGAGTAGCAGAGGCAGAGGGAGAAGCAGGCTCCTCAATGAGCAAGGAGCCTGATGCTGGACTCAATCCCAGGACCCTGGGATCATGACCTGAGCTGAAGGTAGACACTTAACCGACTGAGCCACCCAGGCGTCCCCTTGATGCAATTATTGCTGCTCCAAGTTAGACTGTTTTAGAGGTCTATTTTCATTAAAGGCTTAAAACCTATAAAATGTATATATGTATTTATATCTTAGCTGAGTAGATTAATCAATATAACAAAATATAGCCACACACAACACAGTGCTATCCATTCACTCAAAAAGCAGAGAAAGAAAGTTAAAAATACAACTTCTTATTTGATAAAGAAGGACATAAGACTGGAATGGAAAAGAACAAGGCAAGGGACTCCTGCTTTTCATTCTAAGTCCTTCCCTTAATTTTTGAACATGTATACGTATTATATTGATAATTTAAAAAAATGTATATAAGATAGAGGGGCGCCTGGGTGGCTCAGTTGGTTAAGCGTCTGCCTTTGGCTCAGGTCATGATTTCAGGGTCCTGGGATGGAGCCCCATGTCGGGCTCCCTGCTCAGCGGGGAATATGCTTCTCCCTCTCCTTCTGCCTGCCGCTTCCCCTGCTTGTGCTCTCTCTCTCTGTCAAATAAATAAATAAAATCTTTAAAAAAATGTATATAAGATGTAACATACAGATTACATTTAAAGCCAATAGTTTCATTCACCTATAGTGGTGACAAATGGATTTCTTCTTTTTCACCCCCAAAAAAGTAGGATCACATATTTCTATATATATTAAGTTGATCACCTGAGATTACCATCTTTGTAGATTACTGGGAACAAGCCTCAACCTAACGTGGAAAGGAAATGATATAAAAAACAAAACAGGGCCTTGGAGTTAGAAAGATTTGTGTGAGTCCCCACTTTGCCATTTCCTAGCTATGTGAATTTGGGCAAGTGATAACTTCTCTGAACCTCAGTTTTCCTGAAATTGTAAAAAATAACACCATTTTCATGGTTGTTGTTAGACATAATATATGTAAGGTCCCTAAAATAATGCCTAACAATAAGAAATTTAATGAATGGCAGGATAAAGATAGATAGAGCCCCCCCAAATAATACAAATAGGGTCAATACTTAAAGGTAGTGATGGTGAGATAAGGTTTTTGAATAATACTTTATGACTTCAGATTTTCTTTTTCTTTTTTTATAAATCTTTTTTTTTTTTAAAGATTTTATTTATTTATTCATGAGAGAGAAAGAGAGAGAAGCAGAGGGAGAAGTAGGCTCCCAAGGAGCAGGGAGCCCGATGCGGGATGCAATCCCGGGACCCTGGGATCATGACCTGAGCCGAAGGCAGATGCTTAACCATCTGAGCCACCCAGGTGCCCAAGACTTCAGATTTTCTTAAGTCCTATTTGTCACAGTAATTCAAATTATTGCTGCAAGTGTGAAGTGGCATTACATATAACAGTGGCATTACATGTAACGATGAAGTAGAGCTAAATAAAGTGAGTCAGTGACTATGGAACTAATTATGGTTTCTGAAAGGGGAGACGTAATCAGCTATTTTTATACCTTCCTTACAGATACTCTGTAGATACAAGGATCCAGGATGCCTGTGGCGGCACTTGCACTCATTTTGCACATAAATGAGAACTTCTTCCTCCAGTGAACACAGTTTGCTTGCACCACTTCCCTGAATGGGGAAAAAAAATAAGAGAATTACTACTAATGATAGGTTAAAAAAGCATACACACTCTTTCACTCAGGTCTCTAATGCAGAAGTGATAGATTAAAAGCCAGTATTTGGAAACATGAAGAAAACAAACTTCTAACAATGTGATCTGAAAATCTCTAGAAGCTTTTAATTATCCACAGAAACTTAAAAAAAAAGTGAAATTACATATCAATTTAATCAATATAAATCGAAGCTTCACTACTCATTCATTCAGCACATGATACATGTTTATTTTTGGTGTGCGGGTTATATGCTAGGGTCTGAGATATGAAGACACGGACGACCGCGTTCCTAACCTTGTAGGGCCTGTGGTTTAGTTAGTACCAGAGACAGAACTGGGAACAAATATTTGTTCTGAAATGAACTACTGCTATAGCTCTACTCCTGTTCCCGCCATAACAGCAACAACAGCTGCCATTTGCTGTCAGCTTACCACATGCTATTTAATCTCACAGCAACCCCAGGAGGTTTATAGATAAGAAAGATGAAGCGCAAGGAGAAAAGTTAACTCAAGGTCATTTAGGCAGGAAGTTGCGGCACTAGCTTTCAAACCAGGCCCGTTTAACTCAAAAGCCTACTTGTCCATTAAGGAAAATCTGTATTTTCCCCACCACCTCTGCTCTTTCGAGTTTCCAGGCCTTTGTACCTGCTGTTCCCTCTACTGTTTTGTATAAGTGTAGGGGGCTTGCCCTTAAAACGGAAGGATAATTATTCCTCTAACATGGGAAGAAAAGAAAGACAATGGGTGAAAATAAAGAGAAAACTGGAGAAACCAAAAGGGAAAGGCAAGAGAGCCCAGGCTGAATAGTTTTTGATTTTCTTAGGTAAATAAAAGGTGAGGTTCTTTCTTTTTCTTTTTTTAAAAGTATTTTATTTATTTGCCAGAGAGAGAGAGAGAGAGTGAAAGACTGTGAGAGTACAAGCAGGGGGAGCGGCAGGCAGAGGGAGAATCAGGCCTCCTGCCGAGCAGGGAGCCCAATGTGGGGCTCGATCCCAGGACCCTGGGATCATGACCTGAGCCGAAGGCAGATGCTTAACTGACTGAGCCACCCAGGTATCCCAAGGTGAGGTTATTTCTATCGAATGACAGGAGCTGATGAATGAGTTGAAAATTTAGATGAAGGCTGAGGACAGTTAGGAATAACTGATGGGGTGAATGTGATAGGCATCTGGTAGCTGCCTCAGTGAATAAAGTGCATTTGTACTGGGACCCATCAGTTTGGTTTTATGGATTTGTCTATCAACACACAGAAATCCAAGAACAGGAATTACAAAGCCAAAAATCATTTAAAAACCATAATCAAGTATGTCTTTGTATGTGGTATGCACATGTATGCTCACTTATACACATATAAATAGACACACAAAGGGGAGTGGAGGGCGTGTATTTTATCATAGGTTTCAAAGTGATAACTTTAGTCATTCTCTTTTTTTCATTAGGAACCTTTAGTGACTGGGGCGCCTGGATGGCTCAGTTGGTTAAGCGACTGCCCTTGGCTCAGTTCATGATCCTAAGTCCCAGGATCCAGTCCCGTATGGGGCTCCCTGGTCAGCGAGGAGTCTGCTTCTCCCTCTGACCCTCCCCCCCTCATGCTTTTTCTCTCAAATAAAAAAAAAATCTAAAAAAAAAGGAAACTTTAGTGATTTAATGAATTATGATGTGAAGAGAATGTATGTATTCTTTTTTAATTTATTTTTTTAAAAGATTTTATTTATTTATTTGAGAGAGAGGAGAGACAGTGAGAGAGTACAAGCGGGGAGGAGAAGGAGAAGCAGGCTCCCCACCGAGCAAGGAGCCTGATGTGGGACTCCATCCCAGGACCCTGGGATCACAACCTGAGCCGAAGGCAGACACTCAACCGACTGAGCCAGCCAGGTACCCCTGTATTCTTTTTTTAATTTTTAAAAAAGATTTATTGGGGCGCCTGGGTGGCTCAGTCGTTAAGCGTCTGCCTTCGGCTCAGGTCATGATACCAGGGTCCTGGGATCGAGTCCCACATTGGGCTCCCTGCTCAGCGGGAAGCCTGCTTCTCTCTCTCCCACTCCCCCTGCTTGTGTTCCTGCTCTCACTGTCTCTGTCAAATAAATAAATAAAATCTTAAAAAAAAAAAAGGAATGAGATCTTGCCATTTGCAACAACGTGGATGGAACTGGAGGGTATTATGCTGAGTGAAATAAATCAATCAGAGAAAGACGTATCATATGACCTCACTTATATGAGGAATTCTTAATCTCAGGAAACAAACTGAGAGTTGCTGGAGTGGGGGTGGGATGGATGGGGTGGCTGGGTGATAGACATTGGGGAGGGTATGTGCTATGGTGAGCGCTGTGGATTGTGCAAAACTGTTGAATCACAGATCTGTACTTCTGAAACAAATAATGCAATACATGTTAAGAAAAGAAGAGGAAGAAGAAGAAGGAAGAAGAAGGAAGAAGAAAAGAAGAAGAAAGAAGAAGAAAGAAGAAAGAAGAAAGAAGAAAAAGAAGAAAGAAGAAAGAAGAAAGAAGAAAGAAGAAAGAAGAAAGAAGAAGAAGAAGAAGAAGAAGAAGAAGAAGAAGAAGATAGCAGGAGGGGAAGAAAATAGCAGGAGGGGAAGAATGAAGGGGGGGAAATCGGAGGGGGAGATGAACCATGAGGGACGATGGACTCTGAAAAACAAACTGAGGGTTCTAGAGGGGAGGGCGGGGATTGGTTAGCCTGGTGATGGGTATTAAAGAGGGCACGTTCTGCATGGAGCACTGGGTGTTATACACAAACAATGAATCACGGAACACTACATCAACAACTAATGATGTAATGTATGGTGATTAAGCTAACAAAAAAAAAACTTAAAGAAGAAAAAAAAAATCTGTGGTGTTTCTATACATGAACAATGAACTACCTGAAAAAGAAATTAAGGAAACAATCCCATTCACAATAGCAACAAAAAGAATAAAATACCTAGAAATAAATTTAATCAAAGAGGTGAAAGACTTGTACACTGAAAATTATAAAACATTGATGAAGGAAAGTAATGAAGATACAAATAAATGGGAAGGCATCCTATGGATTGGAGGAATTAATATTGTTAAAAGGTCCATACTACCCAAAGTGATCTACAGATTTAATGCAATCCCTATCAAAATCCCAGCGCAATTCTTTACAGAACTAGAAAAAAACAATCCCAAAATTCCTGTATAACCACAAAGACCCCAAAGCAATCTTGAGGAAGAAGAACAAGGCTGGAGGTATCACATTTTCTGATTTCAAAATGTATTACAAAGTCACAGCAATAAAAACAGTATGGTATTGGGAAAAAAACCCCTCAGAAATACAGACCAGTGGAACAGAACAGAGAGCTCAGGAATAATTCCACCCACTTACACTCAGCTGATCTTTGATAAAAATGTCAAGAAAACATAATGGAAAAAGGACAGTCGTGCTAGGAAAACTGGTTATTCATAATGGAAAAATGAAATTGGACTCATATTATATACAGAAATCAACACAAAATGGATTTAAAAACTTAAACATAAGACCTAAAACCGCAAAACTACTAGAAAAAAAGAGAGAAAAAGCTTCTTGACATTGTTCTGGGGAATGATTTTTTTGGGTATAACGCCAAAAGCACAGGCAACAAAAGCAAAAATAGGTAAGTGACTGCATCAAACTAAAAAGCTTCTGCAGAGCAAAGGAAATGATCAACAGAATGAAAAGGCAACTTATGGAATGGGAGAAAATATTCTCCCACCATATATCTGATGAGAGGTTAATGTCTCAAATATATAAGAAACTCAAACAGCTCAATGGCAAAAACAAAAAAACCTCCATACAACACAATTAAAAAATGGGCAAAAACATTTGAATAGACATTTCTCAAGTGAAGATATAAGGCCAACAGATATATGATTGTAATCACTAATCATTAGGGAAATGCAAATCAAAACCACAATGAGATATGACTTCACACCTATTAGAGTGGCTATTATCAAAAAGACAAAAAAAAAAAGCAAGTGTTGGTTAGAATGTGGAAAAAAGGGTCCCTGGGTGGCTTAGTTGGTTAAGCATCTGCCTTTGGCTCAGGTCATCATCTCAGGGTCCTGTGATGGAGCCCTCTACTGGGCTCCCTGCTCAGTGGGTTGTCTGCTTCTCTCTCAGCCCCTCTCTTGCTCTCAAAAGTAAATAAATAAAATCTATAAAAAAAAAGAATGTGGAAAAAAACTCTCTTACATGGTTGATGGGAATATAAATTGGTATAGCCATTATGAAAAACCGTATGGAGTTTCCTTAAAAATTAAAAATAGAATTAACCATATGATCCAGCAATCCCACTTCTGGGTTCATATCCAAAGGAAATGAAATTGACATTTGAAGAGATATTTCCGCGCCCATGTTCACTGCAGCATTGTTCATAATAGCTGAGATATGGACACAACCTAAGTGTCTATTGAGGGATGACTGAAGAAATGTGTGACACACACACACACACACACACACACACAGGAATGTTATTCAGCCACAAAAAAGAAGTAAATGTGGTAATATGGGTAAGGGTGGAGGACATTATGTGAAGTGAAGTAAGTCAAACACAGAAAGACAAATATTGCATGACCTCACTTATATGTGGAATCTAAAATAGTGGAACTCAGTGAGTAGGAGGGTGGCAGCCAGGAGTTAGAAAGTGGGGAAATGGGGAAGATGTTGGCCAAAGGGTACCGAATTCAGTTAGGCAAGATGAGTAAGTTCTGGAGATCTAATGTACAGCATGGTGACTGTAGTTAACAACTGTATTGCGTATTTCTAATTTGCTAAAAGAGTAGATCTTAAATATTCTCACCAGAAAAAAACAGGTAATTATGTGAGGTGATGAATATGTTAGTTTGATTGTGGTCATCCTTTTACAATGCATACATAAATCTAAACATCTCAAGTTGTACATCATTTTCTTTTTAAGATTTATTTATCTCTGTGAGAGGAA